TACTTTATTTTGGGCCTTTTGCCTTAAGAATAATTCTAAATATGTGAGCTCTGAGGCTGAAATCTAGTTCCTCTTTTGCAAGAGTGTCAGCCAATTCACTTTCGTAGATATTGACATGGGACGGGAGTAATAATGTTAAACCACGATTTCATATAAAACAATTGATACGTCTTTCTAAATATTTAATATTCTTTCTGGAAGTATTCATTTCTGGAACATTCTGAGAACTTTTACGAAATTCTAGCGATGCAATCTAATATATCATTTCAGGACCACGTCATTCAATATTCCACATCCCGAAGTAGTTCATCTGACTTCCACAGTGGACGTAAATTCTCAGCTGAATGAGCAACAACTGCTGCAATGGAATGCGAACAGTTATTCTAGCAGCATGAAAAGGCGTCACGCAACTCCGAGATATCCGATTGCAAATACCTCATCGCTTAAAAATGTTCCTAAACTCTCATCCAAAACTGGTATACCTTACTGCCGGCATCATTCCTCTCAGATGAAACACCCTGCGACTACCCTCACAGATAAGAGGATTGATTCTTCAAGAACGGAGTCTAATGTAAGCAAATGAGCTGAATAATTTTGGCTTAAATCATAGGTAAGATATCTAAGAGGCAAAACTTCCTGCAAAAAATGAACTCTCCTTTGAACATTTTAAACAGGGTAGAGCAGGGGTCGGCAATCTTTTAGTTGTATATATATATATATATATAGCATGCCAAACCAATCTATCACTAAGATTCAGAATTATTCAGATCATTTAAGAATCTATCACATTAGAACATTTTTTAAGCAATTCGATTCCCGTGATAATACATTCGGAATTAGAGAATAGATGTCAATATATAATTTCGATATTTGAAGTTCTATTACATATTAAATTTGCATAATTTAAAGATATTTTTAACATAAAAATAACAGCATAAAATGTAACTATTTCTTCTACAAAAATAAAATTAAAATTGTACATATATTATATATTTTTAAACATACTTATATACATATATATATATATATATATATATATATATATATATATATAAATATTAAAAAAAACAAGTAATATAAAAAATTAAGTCAAATCCTACTTAGATCAACATAGAAATTTTTTATTTTAGCTACTTTTTATTAAATAGTTACAATTACTATAAATATGTATATACATATTTACATTAATCACAACATTAAGAGGTAATTAATTTTTATTAATTATCATTAAAGTATCGTATTGTCATCCAAAACAATCGTGTATATAAAATTTCAGTTCAAATTAATGCTTTAAAACGTGAGAAAAAAACTTTTTCAAGTTTTGACACAAGTTGCCAAAATGGTCGCTAACTCGCCAATAATGATGCCAACGTAGATGTATTTGTAATTCTTTAAATACTTAGTTTTAATCAATTAATTTTTATTAATTATAATTAAATTATTGTATTGTCATCCAAAATAATCATGTATATAAAATTTCAGCTCAATGGAGCGCTTTAAAATGTGTTATATTAACTATTGAAAATTCCACCAAGCTAAATAAATGAATAGAGAGTGCGAGCTAATAGTAGGAATTGAATAAGAAATAGACAACATAAAATATAAATATTTCCCTTCATTGCAGTTAGATAAAAAGATAAATAAAAATATTAATATGAACCTAGCGCTTGTGTCACAGTAATTTCATTTCACTAAATTAGAAGCATAATGTGTTGCTTTCAATTTGACATGATTCTGAGCATTCAGTTGTTAAATAATTTCATTGCGAACTCGAAATATTTTTCATGTGAAAAAAGATTTTTTATTTTCATAAGTAGAACCGAAAACAAAAAGAGTACGTACAATTTTCCCTCTTCAAACAATTCAGTCTCTCCAGCGATGACATTCAATAATTTACAAAATAGCTGTAGATTTGTCTTGAGAGTTACCTTTCAGTTTTTTTTGGTAATTCCATAAATGTTCATAATTCTAAAGATGTTTGTCAAATAAGGCCCATTGCAAATTTATCAACTTCCATCCATTCAAATATTGACAAATTTGTTGAGTAGTGCTCAGTGCCACTGAAAATTGTACCGCGTTCCATAGGTTGCCGACCCCTAGGGTAGAGTGTTTTTTTATGGAGAGATGCAGGAAACAGTCAATGATATGGATCCAAACGAGAGGAAAAATTATTTTATAATAACTAATAATAATAATATCGGTGGATTCCTAAAGAAGTACACTGTTTCATTGCGCTTATAAATCAAAATCAATGTCACCTGTAACAGAGTTGTTTGGGAGTATTTTAAGTTTTGTTAAAGAAAGTCACGGAAGAGAGACTTAGCTAGACATACGATTCACATCGAGACGGTAATTGGAAACGGATTTTGGAAAACGGTTCAAAAGGAATGGAATAAAATTGTCATGACATTATTAAGAAAAAAGTTTACTTTCATGAAAAATTCGAACTGGAGCTATTGTCAAGAATCGTGGCAATCAGATAGAAGCAAATCGCCACACAAAAGTTGTCATTTATAAATAAAAATTAACTATTAAAATCGTTTCCATAAAGTGATAACGACGCAGTTATCCATCTAAACTTTTTTAACATATATATTATCGTTTCCCAGTATCACAAACATTTATATTAATAAATGAAAAAGCACCTGGAATTTTTTGGGGGTACTGCTTAATTTTTTATTTAATATTTGCAATGATTCCTCTGTAAATAAGGTGTTTGGATGTAACGAACAATTTCTTTGATCTGTTGCTGCATTTGTTTAAATGTATTTTTAAAAATGAAAATCTTATAAGAACACCCCAACTTCCTTTTTGAAACTTTGTTTTCATTTTCAATATCGAACCTATTTTTTCTTCAGGTCTGGTTACCACTTCAAAAACAACTATGGAATTCTAGAAAATAAATGTCAGAAACTGTTGCCAATCTGGCAAAGCAAAACAAAAGTTGCAAAAAAAAAATGTTTGGCCACTGCGCTTACTTTTTAACACACTTAATAAGGTTTTAAAAATTATTTTATAAAATAATATTCATGGTTGTGTATGTTAAAATATTTTGATAATAAATGTAGTTAATTAATATTTACATTTTTATCTGTTTCAGACTCTTCATGAATATCACAAAAAATAATTTTGGGTGTATGCATTTTTTACTGAAAGAATAATTCGCTTCTCCTTTTAAATGCGCATTTTTCAATAACTAAAAGGAATTATGAGTTTACTTTAGTAATAAATATACATATACTAAGGTTGAATATATTTACTAAGAATGAATATATATACTAAGTATGAATATATATACTAAGTATGAATATAAGTAGTAATGAATATAAATGTACTACATTGTTCTAATTAATTGGGACAAATGGGAAGTAAGTAATTTTTACAAAACCTTAGAATATATATACTAAGTATGAATATAAGTAGTAATGAATATAAATGTACTACATTGTTGTCGTGCGATTCATCTTAGCGAAACGATTCTAGAGAATATGCCATCAGTTTTGAATAGGATATCTTAAATAGTCTGGGGAGTTTTCAAGCCAATTGAGCATTTTTATTTTATTTTCCGCATAAAAGTATGGAACAATTTCGAATTGTGACAAGGGGCCAATTCATGTTGAAATGTTCTATCAAATTTTTCCATGAATAGAACAATCCTGCTACATAATATTTCTATATATTTGACAGAATTCATCATGTATTTAAGAACTAAGCTTCCAGAGCCATTTATTGTGAAAAAAACCCCAAACATCTGTTTAGAAGGGTGTTTTACAATCTGTTGGATATGATCTGGTAACAAAGTTTCCAATTCATCTAACTACACCTGATTTGTATCTCTGTCTAAAAATAAATGTTTCTTCCCTCAAAATCCCTTTCTTTCAGTCTTTAACAGCCCATGATAGGTATTTTTGGCCATGCTAAACGCTTTTTTTTAATCATTTTTTGAGTTAGAAATAGTTTTTTTCCTCAGTTTTCCTCCTCCACCTTCCAAAAGCCTTTTGTGTTGTAGTTGAGGTACTTACTTCACCATCATTATACAATAAATCCCTTTAAAGGACTATGCTTGTCTTTCTTGGGTTTATTTTGCTACTTCTTATTTAAATTTTATTAATTCTTGGAGTAGTTTTCCACTTAAGCCCACATTTTTCTTTTCTTTTTGGGGATGGTGATCCAGAATTTTGAAATTTCTTAAAATACTAAATCGATCACACCAACTGCCATAGTTATATCTCTCACAGTCATAGAAGTGTATTCGTTGAGAGCGATTTATTTCTGAACGGTTCCTCGGAATAATATCCGTCTTTGAACAAGTAAAAGTAACACGTCTTATACTGAACGCAAAATTGAAATTAGTAGCTAGCCCACTGAATGGCTCACAACATTAAACTCTCCAATTAACAACTCTTGATACATTAAAATGACTAAACTATAGTCAAAGTCGATCTGAGGTGTAATGGATTTGAGGTGGTTAAGGACATCACTAGTAATCTCATACCAACTCAAACAAGAAAACATGTTTGTCCCATGCTAATTTTTTTATTACTTTGATTTCTCAAAATACTTTATAATTACGAAATTAAAAGAAATATTAGATATTTTTAGGGGGATAGGGGAATTTTATATTTTTGTTTACTCTAAATTAAGCGGAGATATTTATATTCATAGTATTTAAATTGAAAAGTATTTAAAAAAATGTGTGTGTGTGTGTGTGTGAGCAATATTAAAAAAATTTAAGTTAATTCCTACTTAGGTCAACAAAAAGAATTTTATTTTAGTTACTTTTTTATTAAATAATTACAATTAATAAAATTATGCATATTCGTATGATAGAATTACACTATTAATTAGCAAAATAGAAAGCGATTTTTCTTGCAATTTTCTATTTTCCTTTCTAAGCAGGATGTTGGACTGTTTTTTTGTTTGTTACTATTTATTTATTAATTTAATTTAATTATTCTAATAAAATACAAAAGAAAAAATCTCTTTCCCAAAAATGAGGCCATCTCAGGTGAGATTCAAACTCACGACCTCTGAATTAGAAGTTCAATGCGCTATCCATTGCGCTACATATACACAACGAACGAATTTTCTTTCTATACATGCTGTTGGACTATTATTTTTGTTTGTTACTATTTATTCATTTTTTAATTTAATTAATGAATTAATATTTGAAAAAACTGTATTAACACCAAGTGCAATCCACTACAAGCTTGAAAATGTATTTGAACTTGAATGGATGAATAAAAAGTATTTTATTAACGATTGAATATTTGAACAAGATATATATATATATATATACTAGCTGGATGGCCCGGCGTTGCACGTGCTTCTTCAAGTGTACAGCTTTATACCTTGGAAGATTCTCCTTCCCTTTCACTGTCAACACTTCCGTGATTTCTACATTAATGTCATTAAAATACTCTTTATCGAAGTTTCTTCCACATCTTTGTCCTGTCGAGCGGGTCTGTTTTCTCGCCACTTAGCTCGGCGTTGCAAGGGCTTTTTCCCTGGGTACAATTTTATCCCCATGGAAATTTTCCCTTTCTCTCTAGACACCAGTATTTCTGCGTGTGTGTGTTACTGAGCGATGTGAGTGAGATTTCTATATTTATGTCACTTAAATCCCCTTTTCAGAAATTTATTCCACTTCTTCTCTTTGTCGGACAGATTTCTTTTCCCTCCGTTCAGCCCAGCGTTGGATGGTTTTTTTCAAGTATAACCCCCTTTTTCCCCGAGGGATAAGATCTTTTTTTTTTTCAAATTTCTATCTTCGATTAAACATTTGCAAAACTAATCCAGTTTTGTTCTCAAGAAAACAAACATCATACTAATTTATTATTATAAATAATTTAGTAATAAATCATAAAGCGCAATACAACTTTATCGTTAAATAATGAATGAAAAAAATGTCTACCGTTAGCTATGAAACAACTGCTTTTATCTGGGTGTTTGATTTTTCGATTAAATATATGTAACTGTGAAAAAAGAGCTATGGAGGGCGGAAGACCTAAAAATTTGTTTGCATTCCTTGTATAAAAAAAAGATTTGAAAGGAACTAGTACTATTTAATAAAAACAGGGCAGCATTTTCCTATATTTTAAAGTTTTTTAATAAATTATTTCTCTAAAAGAAAACTATCAGTTGCGATGTATTACTAAAAACTCAGATCGTATTAATTATTTTATGCATGAAACACACACAATGAATACTTTCTTAAAATTCAAACTAAAAAATTGGATTTGGAAAATTCATTATTTACAATCATTATAAAAGAAAAAACATTAAAAAAGAATACATCTTTTATGTGACAGAAAAATCTTTTATCTGCTTACGTACTCTCCGTTAGTTGTTCTTCCGCACATGCGCTGTAGGCCCTCTAACTCGTGTGTTCTGTCGTAGCTTTCCCATAATTAACTATTACTGGTATTTGGCGATTTTTCCAATTTTTTTCGTTGTATTTTTACGGCTCCGCAAGACGGAAAAGGTATAAAGAAAGCAGATTTTTTTTAAATTAAAAAATTCCAAAATTTTGCTTAAGTTTTACAATATTTTTTTTTTCAAATTAACTTGGTAGCGTTGGAAAATGTTTAAAAATGTACAAATCTGCTTGCAAAATAGTTTTATCTTTTCTTAGGAATTTAAATTAGAAAAATTTAAAACATTGTAGAAATTAAGATTTTAAAAACATATTTTTCAAGTTAATCATATGTTAAAAGCATTTATTTTTTAAACGAAGTTATTTAATACAGTCAATAGAGCAACATCATGAAATTCCATTTTGGCTGAAAACTGATTTTCGACGCCAACTTTTGTCATTGTTTTAACAGTAACAGTGTTACAGCAATGCAGGCAAATCAAAGTTGGCGCCAAAACTGGTTATTAAAACTGGTTTTAATTAATATCTTTTAAACCAATTGCTACATCGGGTCGAATTGTGAATCTAAACCATTCTCGAATCCACTTGAATCCACACAAAAAATTTCATCATAGTCGGTCCAGCCGTTTAGGAGGAATTTAGTCACATACACACGCACAGAAGATTTTTATATATAAAGATATGTATGTATACATACATATAGGGATAGAGTGGACTAATAGAAGGAATTGAAAATTTGAAAATGTTAAACTATCGTTCTATAGAGTGAAAACATTGGTTGCTGACCTCTGGACGAGAAGGCATTCAATACATTTGACCCCCGGATCAATATTTATACAAACTCTTTCAAAAGCTGGTTACCTAACTACCATATTAATAAAGTTTAAATAATATTAATTGATATGTAACTTGTAATGTGAATACTATATAGAAAAAAATTTCTTTTTAAAGATTTTACGCAAAATTTCTTCCTCCATCCGTTCCGAACGATCTCTTCTGATGAAATCCTTAAAAAAAGGTCGCCAACCAGAGTGGGAAATTGTAGAAAGCAAAACAAGAAATGGAACAGTGTACAGCAAAGTTAAATGGAATAAAAGCTATGGAGTCGTCTCAAAAGCATAAAAGAGAAAAATACCTAAAACTGAAACAAAAGACTTAAAACTACAAATAAAATATTCCTTGCCAAGTGTCAATTGTCTATTCTGTATTAATATCAAATAAAACTTATAAATATTTGTTAACTTTTACTAATTTCGCACTTTGATTCCATTTTTGATTTTTTTTCATTTAAATTAAAGAATTAATTTAATGACATGCGTAAATTTTTGATTTTACGCTGATTTTGCATTGTTTGTTTGGTTCTCTACAAAATTCAAATACTTAATGAACTGTGAAACTGAACTCAAAATAAGTAAGTATTGTTCGAAGAGTTTTTCTCTGGAATTTGGAAGCATTAAGGATGAATTGATTTTTGTATTGTATTAACTCAGTGCTATTTAAATTCTGAAGAGAATAGAAAAAATTAATTCTTCTGAGTTCTCGCTAGATACACTCTGTCGCAAAAAAATATATGCACCCAGAAGAAATCAAGCTACAATCACGAAACTCGGCAAGAATGTAGTCTGGTAAGAGATATGCAAATGATTAAAATTTCGAAGCCAGTGAGACAAGGCTAAGTGTGCTATGCGCATATTAGTTGCGCAACTGGGAGAGTTTAAAAGCATGAGTACGAGCGCCGTACGGCTATCCAAACGAATCTGATGACTTTGATAGACGATATTGAGACTTAGGATGCCTCTAAGACGTAACCGGCGGCAGTACGAGCAGCTGACGGACTTTGATAGGGGCCGTATAATAGGCCTCAGAGAAGCAGGTTGGTCGAATAGACGTATCGGCCGCCACCTCGGTCGGAGCGATATGGTAGTTGCTCGGTGTTGGCAACAGTGGATCACAGAAGGTAGAGTGTACCGTCGCGGAGGGTCAGGACGTCCCAGGAACACAAATGATCGCGAGGATCGTGCAATCAGAAGAGTGGCCACTTCGGCACCAACAACGTCGCTAGCATCGATTCAACGCCACTTACCTCCTTCCAGACATCCAGTGCCATCAAGAGAAACCATAAGGAGACGACTAACCGAAGTTGGCTTGAGGAGCCGACGTCCGCTAAGACGCTTACCACTGACCCCACATCATAGGCAGTGTCGACTGGATTTTTGCCGACCTCGAGCAACTTGGAGTGTGACAGACTGGAGACGTGTCATCTTCAGTGATGAATCCCGATTCAGTCTCAGTGCTGATGACCACCGCACACGTGTCTGGAGGCGCACCGGCCAGCGGTCCGATCCGGCATTTATTGTCGAGCGGCATACAGCAATTTCACAAGGTGTGACAGTGTAGGGGAGCAATTTCTTGGGACACACGATCATCTTTAGTGGTCCTTCAAGGCACTTTGACAGCTCGCAGATACGTGGACGATATTTTAACGCCGATTGTGCTACCCATGCTATCAAGTCGCCCAGGTGCCATTTATCAACAGGATAATGCTCGTCCACATACTGCGCGACTCTCCCAACAATGTCTTCAAGGATATGACGTCCTACCATGGCCTGCCAGGTCACCAGATCTTTCGCCAATAGAGCATGTCTGGAACGCGCTGGGAAGGCAACTGCAGCCGTCCCGAGATACAGGAGAATTAACTGCGCAGATGCAAAGACTATGGCAGGATCTTCCACAGGGGGTCATAAGTGATCTAATTGAATCGATACCACGCCGAATTTCGGCTTGTATAGCTGCCAGAGGTGGCTTTACTACTTACTGATTTTTAACCTTTTGCAAGCTGTAACCGCTTAATAAAATGATATTTTGTTCTGAATTTTTAATCATTTGTTTATTTTCATATACACTACATGCATACCAAATTTCGTGAATGTAGCTCAATTTCTTCTGGGTGCATATATTTTTTTGCGACAGAGTGTATATCCTCTAATGGGTCTAAAGTGTTTTATAAAGTAATTGGAGCTAATATTATTTATCTTATCATGCAGTTTTTGAAACATTTGATGCCTTTTCTTCTTAACTATACATATTCCTGGCATATTTCTGAGAAAATATCCAGAAACTTCTACTTGGTATAAAATTTGAGAAAATGCTGATCATGCTGCGTTTTTTCATTTTCTTTCTTTTTCTAAATATTCTGCCCAATGAATTAAAAAAAAAGAGTAAAGTCTTTAAAGCAATCTTATCTTTTTATCCATAATGCATTTGAATTGTTTTATTTTTTCGTAAAAAAGTGTCGAAAATATTTGTATTAAGTACAGTGAAATACGTTGAACTCGAAAACGCAGACGAAATATCGGCTAACACGAAATAATGCAATGGTCCCGACAAGCTACTGCGTATTTTTATGCATTTTTTTCTTAACAAGAAACGAAAATCGCTTAACACGGAAAGATTTCTCTTCTGGGAATGAACACAATACTAAAAATACCGGCTGCTCAGGCAGAGAGGTATAAAATGAAAGAGAGGTGGTTTCAAGTGTTTCGTGGAAAGAAGACTATAACTTAGCTTTGAAATACAATTCAAATAGTTTGTGACACGAGCCAATTTTGTTTATCGAAGCTACTTTATCTCTTCACCTCTACAATCGCCACACAAAAACAACTCATCAGTTGGCTTTGTAATTCGGTGACAAAC